CAAAACGAAGTTGGCTAAATCGTATCAGCCGCACACCGAAATTGATGTGAGACGGGTAAGTTCAAAAAAAACAGGATATGGGTGCAATCAACGTGTGACGGATTGAGTATCGAACTAGGGGTGAGGCAGTCCCCGGAAAACTTCAGAAACACCAGTGCACAGTATGAGAATAGGCACAGGACCGGTTGTTGTTTTGAGGGACTGTGAGCAGGGTTAAATATGAGGGTGAAAATGATGACAAAAAGAACAGGAAAGATTTCGTGCAAGAAGGAAAAAAGCAAGACAAAAATAAGAAGAAAAATCAGAAAAGACGATAAGAATGAACAAATTAAATAACAAATCCCAATTTCAGGATACTTTTGGTGCAGTAGTAATTGGACTAAAAAAACTAATTAAGGTTTGGTAGAAATGAGCGGGGAAGGGCAATCACAACTGTTGTTATTGTTGTTGTTAACTGCAGGATATTTTCAAGACTAGATGCGTTGAGCAGATAGGCGTGTTGCATCTCATAAGCGATGAGTCCTAGAGACGAAACTAGGGTGCGAAAAACAATTCAAATCAAGGCCTAACTGTTCACAATTTGTTTGCCCAGCAGTTAGTGAGTGTTCTCAAAGAGGCGGTGGGAATAGAAGATCATAGACGGCCTCCAGGATACAACCAACGCTCCAAGCCTGAGACTGGCAACTGTCATGGCAATACTATATTTGTGGAAGAAAAAGAAAAAAACGGAAAAAGCAAGGAATTTGTGGTTCAATATTAAAACAGAATATCACTAGACATTCACGCACCAGTTAACTAAAACCTGTTAAAAACAGAAAACTATAGTCACATCAGAAAAGCCAGGGATAAAGATGAACCTAATCATCATTGTACCTCTCATTCAATGAGCCCGAAATTCATCCAATCAAACAGCCTATCGGAAGCGTTGTGCACACATTCGTCTGCGGACCGGTCGAAACAAGTGACGCAAGTTGGGATCACATTCCGATGGGGTATATATACATGCACACACACACACACACACACACGATCATTTCAGCTTCGATTTACATAAGTTGTTCAATGATACGCCAAGCTCAGTCAAGGGATCGTGCCCACCCGGAAACATTTAATCACTAATTCGCCCTGTTTGTTGTGTGTGATTGCATCGTCGTATGTAAATCAGGCAACCAGAATTCAAACAGGATAAGAAGGCTTGACATGAATTAATAGTATCTACAAAAACAGCTCTGACGCTTGTGTGATTCCATTAAAAAGTATGAGACAGATTAGTTTATGACTTCACTCAAATCTCCGAATCCTCCAACTCTCTCAGACGTCTTGAAGCGCGTAGGGCGATCCCGGAAGACAGCCAGTATGTACAACAGCACCTCTCTCGGGAGCCTGAAGTCACAAAGAGCTCGAGGGCAGAGCGAGAAGCCTGTTTGGCGGTACGTGCAAGGGAAATGTAATCAGCAGCTAGGTGTGGAAACATCCGGCAACTGCTACAGATCATCCGTAACACTGGCCTCAACACACAGTGCGGTAAAGAAACCATTTGAGAAGTAGGGTGAAACGCCAATACACAGTCTTCACAGAGACGCTTGGAACGCTGAGTAAAGGGCACTTGACATCGTATTTCAGCCAGCCTCCCACAATGGCCGCCCAAAATAATTCTCTTGGGAGTACACCGAGATTAACGTCCAACGAGGCGCCCAAAAAAGCGGAGATCTAATGCAAACTCCAAGCTGTGAAACGCCACAAAACGTCTGTCTGTATCAGACAACATGTCACAGGCCATCGTTAAAGATGGTGGAGAAGCTCTAGTGAGACAGCTTAACACTGTTTTCAAAGATCTGGGGAGACCGAAAACGTACCCCACATATGGGAGAAATCGACTGCTTCACCCATCAAATAAGGGCTGTCGAAGGGTCATATGTCTGATTCCAAAAGCGCCGAAGCTGTTAGTGTGCATTTTATTAGGAAAACTAAGCCCATTTCGCGAAAGACAAATCCACGAAGAGCAGCCCGCGTTTCGTGCATGTCGTGTTTTCATAGTTCAAATCGCTACCTTTTGTCAGTTGCTAGAAACGTCACACATGTAGACGACAAACTATTGTCGTGTTTTGGACATCAGAACGGCTATCGACTCCGTCGATCACCGTGCGCGGTGGCATGCAAGGTGTTGTTGCAAGATCAGCAGGAACCTGTTCTTGCACTTTTATTGGGGCGCTACACTCTGGAAGTAATCGAAACCTGTGTCTACCTCAGGAGTTGTGTAATGGCTGCCAGAGGTGTGGACGAGATTTCTCGACACGTAATCAAAGTTGGATTACCGTTTGTTGATCTACGGCATCTACGGCTCGTCAAATCCCTTTCACTGAAAGGGCGTGTGTATTGGGCAACAGTACACAAAGTGTTGCGAAACTAGGCCTCTCTGAGGGAATCATGTTCAACCACTATCCATTTCCGATAGCCGTTGTCAACGCAACATCGCCGCACATGGTGTTAGCATCGCGTGCGTAAAGATTAGCTCAGACGACGTCTTTTAGGGTCAGATGGTCTTTCACCGAGCAAAACCATTTCACTGCATCGTCTGAGATGGCTGTGGCACGCCCTATGAATGTCTGAGTAACATCTGCCACACCATGTATTATTTGCGGACATCGGTTCGAGCAAGGAGAAACAGCGAAGTGGGCAGGCTATGATGTGACCCAGAGGGCTAAGAAGACTGTGTTCGGATCTGGCTTCCGTTGAGGCTTCCCGGTTGGCGCCCCAAAGATTCAGATTGTCTTTGGTTGGACACACTGCGGGATATGGCATGAAACTGAAGTCAAGAAAGTGAACACACCCTTTCCCGTATCCAATTCCGAAAGTAAAACAAGCCAACAAAGTCGAAATTATGTGCAGTAAACAAGCGGATAAGCTGTTCTTGTTTTCCCCCTTGTCATGTTTACGTAATCATCTTTCAACCTATGGTGGCGGCGTATCTTTAAACATATATATATTCTCACTACTGAAGCTATTTCATGTCAAGCCTTCCTAGAGTCATAATTCTGAAACCATGGCAAAAACATCGGAATCGGAAGCACCTGTCACCTGTCTTGAACCGTTCGTCACACAGCCAGCATGAAAACGCTTCAGACTGGGTGAAAATCGGGCTTGCGTTGTCAGACGTGCTGAACATCTATCTATTCACTCAAATATGCCTGTGGCACATTCTGACTGGGTGTTTCAACGCATCAAGGGGTGTCATTTTGAGTAAAATTGACACCGGGTCCAGAATGGCCATGACAAAAAAAAGAAGAGATGGTAACCTCCCTCTCACGATGACCAAATGGGATGCGCTGATTAGAACTTTTGCATTTTGTTATTTCTTGTTACTACGTCGTAGGAGGATGAACCGTGCACGGGAGGACTATGGATAACCGAATGAAGTAAGGCACAACCGCGTCAACAGGTGGAAGCTATGTGCGATGCACCGCAGGGAAATAACGCCCGGTTTGTGTGAGGTGGACTGTGAGAGCCTTTGGGTTAGCCCCTCGTTCACCTTCGTAATGCGTTAAAGGAAATACGTGATCAACAGTTTTGTCATTGTAATTTGTGAGATATCGTCCACATAGAAACAAAATATCACAAACTGACAGCGGGAAACGTTAAATTAAAAAGACAAAAAGTAGTAAAAGTGGTGCAGGTTGCTAAGGGAAAATCAAAACAGATTACAGCTTCCTTCAGAACAACACTAGGACACCAAGTGGGAATTTAGTAGAATTT